TAAAATATATTATAATTTCTATCATGATTTCCCTTGGTTCCAAGTATTATTTGATATGCTTTAAAATTTCTAAACATACGATTTTTGTTATATTTTTTCTTACTGATTTTTATTGTGCTGTGATTTTCATGGTTAAATATGACAAATTTTAGAAATACTTCATATGAGCTGAGAAAATAATTTTTGGATACAGGCTCTGTTCATTCTATCAAACTTATTAATTATGTTGGTCAAAACTTATGGGTTCCTATCAATTTTATGTCTTCTTTATTAGCTACTAATAAAGAACTTGTAATTCTATCAATTTTTGCTTCATGCTTTTGGAGGTTAGATCTGTGCAAATCCAAAATACAGTATTTTCTCAGTAAAGTTTTCCTTTTGTCATTTTTGTAATAATTGGAGAATAATATTTTTTTTTCATTGAAATATACTTGGTTTCACATTAATAATGCCGCTTTGACCTTCTTTCGGTTATATCTTTTTTATCCACTTATTTTCGGACTTTTGAGGGTTTTTTTTGCATGTTTCTCTTTTGAACATATGTAAAATCCAACATGTGACAGGATTTTATTTCATAAATAGAATCTCTCATTCTCTTTCTTCCAGTCAATTATCTGTTCTGATTATCTGTTACCTATCCCGATTAGGAATTTGTTTGGATTTAAACAAGATGGATGTTATTTTCTGTATTGTACTTGTCTTGCTTTTAATTTGTTTCTTGTCCCCCCTTTACTTCTTTTTTCTCTTTCTTTCTTACTTCCTGTTGAATTTTATTTTTTCTTTTTCCTTCTTCTTTGTTTTATTTAAGTTTTAATAGGAACTAATACATATCTAATACGCAAATTTAAGAAACTCTCACTTTGAGTAACATTGACCCCCTTTCTGAAATGTTTGAGAACTGTAGATCAGGTACACTTATATTGTCCCTGCCCTCCCGTTTACATGCTAATTGCTGCTCCCCTTTATACTTGTGAGTCATTGTTACTGATGCAATTAGTGATGATTTAGAGGTATACAGGTTATTTGCCAATTTATTTTCTCACTATTGCTTCTTGTATTCTATTCCTTCCTCCTGAGTTCAATACGACTTTTCTTGAGGTATATTTTTTAGTATTCTTTTAGCAATGTTCTGTGAGTAGTAAATTTCCTTTGCTTTGTCTGAATATGTCTATATTTGACTCTTATTTCTAAATAACAGCTTTTTGGACCATACAATTCAAGGTAGACAGTTATTTCCTCTCAGTACACATTTCTTAAAGCTTCTGTTGTTCAGGATCTTGCTGTCAGTTCTTTGTTGTTCCTCTGTAGTAATTTGCTTTTTTGACTTTTCCCTAATAACTTCTTCTTGTCTTTATGTGTTTTGGGTTTGTGGTGTTCTATAGTTTTGTTACAATGTGTCTAGATATAGAATTATTTTGATTTTTCTACTTGGGTCTTGTACTGATGCTTGAATCTGATAATTCATGTCTTTTATGAATTCTGGAAAATTCTTAGCTGTCATCTCTTCAAATATCTTTCAAGCTATTTTAGAAGTCTTAGTCCTATGTTGAGCTTCCCAGGTGGTGCTTGTGGTAAAGAACCCCACTGCCAATGCAGGAGATATAAGAGACGCGGGTTCTATCCCTGGGTCAGGAAGATCCCCTGGAGGAGGGCATGGCAACCCACTCCAGTATTCTTGCCTGGAGAATCCCATGGACAGAGGAGCCTGGTGGGCTACAGTTCATAGGTCACAAAGAGTCAGACGCGACTAAAACAACTTAGCATGGCACAACAGTCCTATGTTAGACCATTTTATTCTGTCCTTGATATCTCTTAGCTTTTCTATTTTTCTCTTCAACCCATGATTCGTTTTGGGAGATTTCCTGAGGTCTACATTGCATTGCTTTCCATCCTGTTCTCTTCAGTTTGTTTCCAATCTGCTGTTTAGTTCAATTATTGATGTTTTCCTTATACATGGCTACATTTTAAAAATCAATTGTTTGTTTCTTTAAAAAATCGTTCATGAAAAATAATATCTTGTTTCTTTCTTTTGGTTTTAGATTCTTACTTTACATCTTTAATTAATAAATTTATTTTATAGTTTCATTCAGATATTCTACAGATCTACTGGTTTATGTCTAATCCTAAAGTTCCTTGTGTCTGCTTAGTCTCTCTTTTGAAGGAATATTTCTTTTTATGTTTTGTAATTTGGGGCTATGAGCTCATTTTCATAGACCTTTATCTGAGGGAATCTTGTAGATTTTATGTTTAGATTATGCTGCTTCAGAACAGTTTTGCATTTGTTTCTGCAGTATGAGAATTCCAGGCTGAATTCATGTTTGACCTCATAAGCTATTTCTCATTCTCTCCTCCAAGCCTAAATTTCAGAGAATAGCCTTTTTCTTCTTTATATCCCAAATTTGTTAGTTATCCAGGTGTTCTGGTTTTCTTCTGGATGATCAAATTTTTTTTCAACAGATCTTTATGTACCTGAGATCATTTTTTCCCCCCACATACATTTAGCACTGGTGTCAAATGATCTTTCTTAAAGGAGATTCTGATCGTATTGACCTTTCAGTGGCTTACCAGGAAGCTATAGAATGAACTCCAACTCCTTGAAAAACTCTGGCCCCTGCTTTCTCATTTCTGACCTCAGTGCTCATTTTTCTCTCATTGACACTTCATGTTTAAGCTGAAGAACTGATCATTTATGTTGCAGATCATGAGCTCTCTTGTTTCAATGCTTTCACACGTGCTGCTTCATCATTAACTACCCTCCTTTCTTCCGTTAAATTTTACTATTATTTAGACAAATTAGTCCCCTTAGAGAAGTGCTTTCAGCTCAATGTCATCTTATTTTTATTGTTGTCTGTTGGTTGGTTGGCTTGCTGTTAAACAATAATTAAAAAGTACAAAGGGAGAGTTTATCACTTTGTCTTCCTAAGCTCTTCATATTTGCACATTTAAAAACACATCAAACTTGTGTTTCTGGGACGGTATAGCTATTTGGGAAAGAACCGAACTTATGCTTCAGTTGAAAATCTTACACATTTCAAAGCCATCTCTGTAACGGGATATTAGTGAAATATTGTGTATTTGTAATATTATATATTTCATTGCCAAATTGCCTTTTGGAAGCTTTGGAAAAGCAAAGAAAGTGGATCTGTTTACTTGGCCTTTTTAGTAAAATAGAACTGGATTCTTATTTTGCCTCTGCTACTGATATGCTAAGTATCTCCTTTCTTGCTTTGATTTGCCACTTTTTAAAGTGAAGGTGTTGGGTGAGATGATGTTCAAGTTTTCTTTCACCTCCAAAATCCTACTAATGATTCCAAAAATCATCTTAGACACCCAGATATATTTTATTGTACCCTCTTTTCTAAGTTGCCATCACTCCTTTTGGTTGGTAAATTTAAGCTTGTGAATGTCTCATAATTTTTAGGATATATATGAACTTTAAGGTAAATTTGCATTAAAATAATTTATTGAATGTAAAGTACTTAGTTAACATAAACACCAATCAGAAAGTTTTGACTAATATCAAAATTTGAAGGCAGAGACAGATTTTTTCACCTTGTTTTGACTTAAAGGGGCAGCAGTGAAGATCAGAAATGCAGTGCTTCAGAAATGTGGACTTAAAACCCAGTTAATGGGCAATGCCTTTCCTGGGTAATATCAAATAGCTTATGTTTTCAGACTTAGTTGGTGCTTACTTTACTACAGATATATCTGGATTCGAACACTGTGAAGATCAATAACTCTTTTGATATGCTTGCCAATTTCTAGTGTTGATAAGCAATTTCTTTCAAGAAGCCTGTCTTCAAATGTTAGTGCACCTTCATAGGAAATAAAAAAGTGTCATAATTTCCTACGAACCCTGTGCCTACTAGTAACATTTAATTATTTTTCCTATTACTAGCTGAGATGACTCAGTCCCTGAAAATGATAAAGAACTTGTCTTAAATTTACTGTGTAAAAATATTTGCTTTAAATTTTCTTTGAGTTATTTATATGTTAATAGCTTTTTGCATATTAGATATTGAATGAAAAACTATAATATTTATGATGTTTAAAGCATTAGAGTTGGGCAGAAAGCATCTTTATAAATGGAGAAGAATATTGGAAAGAAATAAATTTCTTTCTGTTGAATTTTATGAAAATACACAGCTAATAAGTGGTGATAATTTAATCTTTTTCCTTCCGATTCTATTCTTCTCCTTTCTCATTTTGTTAAATATCTTAGTTCTTCTCACTAATCTCTTCTTTCACTTCCTCCTTCAGCTCTTTCCTCTTTCTTTCCTCCTCTCTTTTTTCTTTCCTTTAAAAGTTTTCTCCTGCCTTTTATTTTTATTATGTAAATATTTATCTATATACAAACCTTACCATGAAGTGGAAGCAAGAATGGGATTTATAAGCAAAGAAACAATGTAAAATTGTAAGATAGAAGGAATCACTTTTTGTGTATTAGACAAATCCAAATAGAATAGGATAACAACAGATTAATGTTACTGGTGATTATAGGTTGTCCTTTTATTCCCATTAAATAATGAAACAATCCATGACTTTTCACTCTGTGTATTTGTTTTGAACATAAATTGGTCTGAGGAACTACATTCCTATATGTTAAGTTGTAGTTTTGGCTGCTAGTTGAGTATACCATGAATTAATAATCATTTGATATTGACTTCAGTTGAGGTGAATACCAAGATTTATTGAGCTGAGTGGAAAATATGAACCAAAGTGAAACTTCTGTCAATATTTATTTACTTTTACAGGGACAATTAATCTTGATACTCATTGAAACAAGAAGTCAATATATGTATTGTTGTGTACTTTTGGAGACTTCCATTAGAAATATTGACAAGTCCTCGGTTCATGGCCATAGATTTAAAAGGCCTATCAATTTAAATGTTTTGGGTATCAAGGGCTAAAACATGTAACATATCACTGTGTTGTTCTCCAGAAATAAGAAATCAAGAGTCTTCTCACAGTAGATTAATGGGAATTCCTCCTCTTTTCAGTTCAGCTACTGCTTTTTTAGTAATAGGAACTGCCGAGAACACAACCCGTACTGAGTTCTCGATGAATGACTTCATCTTGTGAGCAGATGGGGCAAACTTTCCTATGAAAGAGTTCTGCAACTCCCGGTGGTGAATGACACTGGTGAGTAAAGCTCCCCAGTGCATCTTAGTTTCTTTATAAGAGCTTCCTTTGTAAGCAGCCCTTACCTCTGGGAGAAGCCCAGGCTGTGAGGTTTGGACTTTGGTTTCTCAGGGTTTTTCTTTTCTTCTCTTTCAGAGCAAAACAGTGTTGAGGTAAGAGAAATTTTTACTTTACAGTGACTGAAAATGTAATGAAGCACTTGACATGTATGTATGAAGTATTAATGTTGAATTTCCAGGGAGAGCATTCTCTTTAGTCGATCAATTCCCTATTCAGAGTGTGATCTCAAGAATTATGCTTAAAATTTCTCCTCCTTTTTAAATGGTTAAAAATTTTAAAAATTCTCTCCTCCCTCAAAAAAGTAACAAAAGAACAAACAAACAAAAACAATTAATACCTCATGGGAATCTCAGTTGAGGTAGATTTTAAGATATGGTACTAGAGTGATTGATTTTTACTTAGTCAAGAATGAACTTGTCTTCTCCATATAAATTTAAATAAAAAGCTTATATGTCACATTCTAGCCTTCACTGAACAATGTTCGTGTTGTCTTTGCTTGGTAGATATCAGAGATTGCCATACTTAAGGAAATGTCTGAAAAATTAGTGAAACATATTGATGATATATATGATATTATATATTAATGAACAATACAATATATAATATATAAATTATGTAACATGATATGTAATATTATAATGATATATATGTATATATACATATATAAAGTTAACTTGTCATTGGGATAATGTAACATATTTATCATCAAAGTTTTGGAATAGGCAAATTTTATTTTGGACATTGTGAACAATGTTCAGAGTTTTAAAAAATTTTTTAATGGTCAAACTCAACATGTCTCAAAATTGTTTATAATACCCAATATGATATGCCTTGACACATAGCTGAAAATCATAAATTCACCAATACCCAGGAACAGCAACACATTAGTAAATTTGTGTTCAGCTTTAAGTTTTCAATACTTTGGCCAATGCTCCAATACTTTGGCCACCTGATGCGAAGAATTGATTCACTGGAAAAGACCCTAATGCTGGGAATCATCCACCTCTGTGACTCAGAGAATCCTATCACCAGCTAGCCTTGACAAACACAACAGAGAAACACCGAGGGCCCCATACTGTGATTGGTGAAAGGAAAATGACCAGTGATGTCAATGAAAGACCAGTTTATTTATATAAACCTGCGAGGTGTGGACAAAGCGACTGAAAAGATGAGAAAGAAAGAAACTGGGAAGCGGATGCAGGAGGATGGGAGTAACCATGGTGAGAGGGGGAGGGCTTGGGCAGTGAACGGAGAGCAAGTAAGACGGAAGCACAGCAGTGAAGAGAGAGCCTAGAATTGCCAGATTGCTACACACCTTAGGACCATCTTCTTGAAGATAAAGGATCTTCACTTCCGCTGCAAAGCATTCCAGTAGTCCTTAAAGAAGCCAGATTGTTGAAGGAAAGCTAGAGGGTAAAGCTCAATAGTTTGGGGTGGAGGTCAGGATGAGAGGTGGTTCATGGAACAGTATATATCAAAAAGAAACCGTTTCAGGGAAAACAGAAGGAAAGGACAGCATTTACTTGCCTGAAAAAACATAATTAGATTTGAATTCTTCACTTTTCAATGTGTTAGTCTTTGGCAACCTCCATAAAACCACCGTCATATTTTTTCATATCAAGAGTTTAAAGTGATGACTCCACTTTGACTGCTAGGTGGATCAATGTGGAAAAAGGCCTTTGTCTTTACTGTGGCAGGTGTGTAGACTTTTGGAGACAGATACCAGGATTCAGGCCTCTTGGTAGTTTTCTGAAATTGCACAGTTTACCCACTCTCTGTTTTCTAGGTTGAAAAATGGGGGATTTATCTGAAAATTTTGTGGGGATTAAAATTTAAAAATATATTTAAAAAGTACCAGTGGGACTTCCCTGGTGGTCCAGTGGTTAAGACTCCAGCTTCCCAATACAGGGGGCCAGGATTCCGTCCCTGGTCAGGGAACCAGATCCTACATGCCACAACTAAAGATCGAAGATCCTGTGTGCCATAGCAAACACTTGGCACAGCCAAATAAATGAATGGATGAATAAATAAGTAAATGATTTTTAAAAAGTACCCAACACACTGCCGGGCACAGACTTAATTGTGTGTTATATGCTAGTTGCCTTCCTCCGGGTGAAGAGTTTTGGAAATCCCTATATGAAAAAGGCCATGAAAATTTAGAAGAAAAAAATTTAGGATGATACAGTTTTTAGTGTTATATGATCAAATGTGCCTGCCTTCTAAATTTGTCCTCTAGAATCAGGCAGAATTTTTTTTTTCGAGGGAAGAGGAAATCTGAAAATGAGACCTTTAATTCATCATTGTATCCTTGCTGCTCAGACATATTAGTCTGTGTCTGCTTTGCTTTACTTGCAGTCCTTTCTCTAATTGCAGTGGTATGTGAGGCCACCATCTTTAGCAGAGTCTGGACCTTGTCACTCTCTCCCCCAGTGGCTGTATTCCCCCACAGGCACCCTGACTTCATTCATTCCTCCAACACCCCAAACTCCGTTTCTCCTTACGGTCTTCCTACCTCTCCTTGAAATACTCCTCATAGACTCCTCCTTTCCTCTCCTGTCCCCTCCATCTCTGTTTTTACACAGTCACCCTCTATGTATTTGGCTCATTCCCATTTAATTCCTACTTACATTAATTGTTGCTTCCTGCCTGAGACCCTAGCCTCGGTTATATCAATCTGTTGGTTGGCTGAAAGATTTCTCAGCATCTGTCCTGCTGTGTGTGCATGCTCAGTCGCTCAGTTGTGTCTCTTTGGAACTCTATGGACTGTAGCCTGCCAGGCTCCTTTGTTCATGGGATTCTCCAGGCAAGAATACTGGAGTGAGTTATCATCTTCCCGACACAGGGTTCAAACCTGGGTCTCTTGCATCTCCTTCATTGGCGGGAGGATTCTTTACCCACTCTGCCACTTGGGAAGCCCTCTGTCCTGCTGCCGTGCCCTGCCAAGTTGCTTTGGTCGTGTCTGACTCTTTGCAATCCTATAGACTGTGTAGCTTATCAGGCTCCTCTATCCATGAGATTCTCCAGGCAGGAATACTGGAGTGGGTGGCGGTGCCCTTTCCAGGGGATCTTCCTTCCTGACACAGGGATGGAAACTGCATCTCTTATGTCTCCTGCATTGGCGGGTGAGTTCTTTATCCATAGCAACATCTGGGAAGCCCCTCTGTCCTGCTACTTATCACAATTATGATTAATTAATTATTTGGTTTCTCTTTCTGGCTAAAACATTGGTGAGGACAGGAACTATGTTTCATCATCACTCTGTCACCCACATTCAGCTCACTGACTTGCATGTTATTGATGATCAACAAATCTTTGTTGAAAGAGTGATGCTAGATGCAGAAACAAATTGTTGGTTACATTATTGTCACATCATAGAATTGCTTAGTCTTGTACTCAGCATCACTGACTGTTGGCTCCATGTGGTTAGTTTATGTTCTCTAGATTGTAAAATGGACCAGTGTGGTACCATGGGCCCGAGACAACACGTACGGTTTGTGTAGAGTCAAGTCTGAGCAAGTATCTATTTGAAAAAGGAAGCTGGCTCAGTCCAGGAGCTGGCATCCCTTCTCTTATACAGTATCTTATACCACAAGATTCAAGTCTGTTAAATATCCTAACCCAATAAATGCAACTGTAAGGAAGTAGTGGACACTGGGTGCTATTCTGTGGCTTGTTAAGCCTTTGGAATTAGGGAACAACTTGAAAGTTGGTAAATTGTGAAACCTTTTGTCTGGACATGACTGCATCATGAGTTTGCTTGGATGTGGTCATACCTTGAATTGTAGGAGGTACTTTCCTGAGATCAAAAACTCTATAGGTGAGATTCAACTATTTGGTCAATCTGAAACATTCCATAATAATTGTTAATGCATAATTTAGTGGTAAAGAGTCTGTCTGCCAATGCAGGATATGTAAGGGACGCGAGTTCTATCCTTGGGTCAGGAAGATCCCCTGGAGGAGGAAATGTCAACGTACTCTTGCCTGGAAGATTCCATGGATAGAGGAGCCTGGCAGCTACAGTCTATGGTATTGCAAAGTCGGACATGATTGAGCACACATTGTTATTAATAGCCATTAACAAATAATGGGAAGGGTATAAACAAACCAGCTAGTATAGGTGGCTGTGAAAAAAGGGTAGGCAGGACAAAATGTTTACCAAAAGGAGCACAGGAGTGAGTACACATTGTAAAAACAACTTGCATATTGAATTCTGCCTGGGCTGCACCATCCTTCTATAGAAGTGAATTAGTATTACACTTCTATAAGGAAACCGAATGACAATGATACACATAAGATCCTTTTTAGAAAAAAACAAACAAAAAAAACCCCCCACAATCCGACGCCTTCCAGAGCATGAGGAAAAGTTTCAGAGTCATTGGATGTCTCTCTTTGTCAGATGCCACGGTGTCAGGCTCTGAGCCATTTGTCATCCCTGAATTTCATTATCTGCTCCTTCCCTGTCTTTCATTCCCAGTTTGCTAGGACATTTGTTCACCGTTGACCTCCCTGACAAATAATACACCTTAATTATGTTGGCAAGAGGGGATATGTCATTCCCAGGCCACTTTAATTGTCTATCCGACAGGCATCCTGCTGAGGCATGTAGCTTCCGTGGTATTTTGACTGCAATTGTATGAGTATCCTGTGCTTTTCACTTTATCTAAAGAAAGTCTCAACTTTTACAGACCCTGAAAATAATGCTTCCTATCAGGACCACGTTTCATTTTTGTTTTGTGGTCTCTGAGACAAGCTCTCACATAATTTTGGTGAAAACAGTACAGATTGGCTCTCTATGAGG